CAGTTTATGGATTAAGGTAAAGTAGGCCTTCTTCACAGCTACACTGAATTTCTTATCACAAAAGTCAAGGTATTATTACTCTAAAAGATTGATGCATTATTAAACTTTAACTGAGAAAAATACTTGAACAGAAACAGATTTCCAACATCAGTTTGTTGTTATGTGCCGAGTTATTTTGAGTTATGTTGTTATGTGCCATCAAGTCAGCTATGTGCTGACTCTATGACTTAAATCCTTCTAAAACATCCTGTCCATGACCTCTCCATTCAGCTCTTCCAAGTTCAAGGCATTGGCATCCTTTATGGATTTGATCCATCTCATATTCAGTCTTCCCTTTCATCTTCTGCCTTCAACTTTTCCTAACATGATTGAGTCTTGCTTTCTCATGACATTGTCCAAAGTATGACAGCATCAGTTTTATCATGTTTGCTGCTATGCAAAGCTTTGGCTTGATTTGCTCTAGGATCCACTTGTTTGTCTTTCTGTTGTTCCATGGTATTTGCAAAGCTCTCCTCCAGCACCATGTTTCAAACATATAACCTTTCTTCCTGTCAGCTTTCTTCACTGTCCAGTTTTCATACCCATAGATTGTGGTTAGTTTGAATGATCCTGACCTTGGTCTCCATTGAAACATTCTTACATATGGTGATCCTTTCTAGTTCCTTCACGGCTGCCCTTCCAAGTCTTCTTTGTATTTCTTGGCTGCAGTCTCCCTTTGAATGGATGACTCATCCAAGGTATATGAAATCTTTCACAATTTTGATTTCTTGATTAATAATAGTGAAGTTCTGTAATTCTTCTGAGAGTATGATATTCTTTGTTTTCCTGATATTGTTTTCCTGATATTCAGCTGCAGTCCCACTTTTCTACTTTCTTCTTTCACTTTTATCAGGGTTCATTTCAAGTAACTGCTGCTTTGCTCCAGTAATATGGTATCATCTGCATGTCTTAAATTAGAGATAGTTCTTCCCCAATTTTCATTTCTTCCTATGCTTCTAATCCAGCTTGTCCTGTGTACAGACAGAACAGAAAGGAAGATGCAATACATCCTTGTCTGACACCTTTGCATATGGAAAACCATTCTGTTTCTACATATTCTGTCTTAACTAGCTTCTTGTTGGTCATACATCAGGACAATCAAATACTACGGCATGCCCATTTTTTCAGGACCATCCATAGCTTCTTGTGATCCACACAATCAAAGCTTTTGCTGTGGTCCATACAGCAGTGACTGGTCTTTTTCTGCAATTCTTTGGAGTGCTCCTGTATATTGTATATTTGCAATTTGATCTCTAGTGCCCCTTCCTTTCTGAAATCCAGCTTGGACATCAGGCATTTCTCATTCCATAGAGGGTAGCATTCTTTGTTGCAAAACTCTGAGCATCACTTAACTCACATGGGATATTAATGCAATGGTCGTTTGGTTGCTCCATTCTTTCGCATCTCCTTTCTTGGGGACTGGGATAAATATTGAATGTTTCCAGTCTTGTTGACATATTTTTGTTAGGATTTGGACTGATTTGCTTTCTGTAGACTGGAATAGCTCTATCATACTCCAGGTGTGTTATTCTTTGCAGAGCAGTTTTCAATTTGCTTTCTAATATTGCAGGGTCTTCTTCATAAGATTCCTCTCATCTTTTTTCTGTACACTTCTTTCATATATTGTTTCCACATTCTCTTTATTTTATCCTGGTAGGACAGTATGCTCCCTTTTTTATTTTAGCATTCCTAATCTAGGTGTGAATTTCCATTGGATTTCATGGATCTTCTGAAAGAGGTCTTGTATTATTTCCCCTTTTGTTGCTCTTTTTTCCTTCACTGATCAGTGTAATGGTCCTTTTTGTCTCTAAATGATAATTGCTGAAAAGTTGCATTCAGAATTCTGAATATTTCTGTCACCCTTAGCTTCTCACCGGTCTTTTACAACTGTGACTGTTTCTTCTGTTATACTTTGGCACTATCTATTGATGATTTTTGTAGCTTGACTCTGATTTTTAAATTAAGAGCTGACAGTCACTGCCACAGTCTGCTTCCTGGTCTTATTTTGGCAGCAAGAATACAGCTTCTCCACCTTCTCTTTCCAATTACAAATTTTATTTGATCTCTGTATTGGCCATCTGGTGAAATCCATCTATACAATCACCTGAGCGGTTTCTTGAAGGGCATGTTCGCAACTAAAAGGTTGTTGACTTCACAAATTTCTAACAGTTGTCCTCCTGCTTCATTTCTTACCCCTAGGCCAAAATTTACTACAACATTTGATTTCACTTTGTTTGGTACTTCTGCATTCCAGTCACCTAGAATTAGCAGTAGGTTTTCTTTTGGTGGATTATCAATTTTCTCTTGAACACCTGCATAAGAGTTTTCAATTGCAGGCATTACTTTCCATTTTTAACCACTTCCATATTTTCACACATCATCTCCCATCTGCCTTCTTAACAGAATTAACTCATCATGTGGGAAAAGCCAGATGAGTTGTACATAATGTCTTTTGATGTGCAATGCTAAGAGACTTCTGTCTGAAAGCATCCTGAGTGTTCAAGACACTTTGAGAGCAATCCTATGCAGGTTTAGATAGAAAAGGGCTGGCTGGGACATCCAGATGGTTAAAGGCCCTTTTCTGTCTAAACTTGTATAGGATCTTGCCTTTAATTATTTTAAAGGCACACAAGTCCAGTTGTATCTGGTGGCGGCATTCTGTTGATAAAAGCTGTTCCATCAGTGGACCAGAGAGAGGAGTAATTCCCCCTCCCTCCACACCCTCAGAATCTGCTCTGGGCAGCAGGACATCTCTTCAGAGAAGCATGTAAAACCCTCCAAACAGCAGGGAAAGGCTTCTGTTTATTTCACTAGAAGAATTGAAAAGCTCAAATGACCTAAGGGAAAGTATGAACTCAAGGATAAAGGCAACAATGTTTATTTGAATTATTAGTAATTTAAACAGCAAGGTCTTCATCTCAGACCAGGAATACACTGGGAATAGGAAAAACACCATCAGGGTGATCAGTCTGCTGTTAAGTGTGACTACCAAATCTGATGAGTGCCACCTTAGTTCACATTAATATTTAGGCCATTCAAATCACAAAAAAATTCTAGCTAAGTTTGATTTCTTACAGCATGAACAAATATGATTGTAATGCAATGCGTCAATCTGAGAGAAATATTCTTGACTGTGGACAAATTCTGGTGGACTGAAAGCTTGTAGAGTGCAGTTAGCATGTGTTTTGTGCTTTAACCTGAAGGTTACTAAAGGAACTTGTGCTTAAGGTTTCTGTGAATGACCTACTTTTTTCTGTCGAAAAAATACAAAAGCAGGGTAAAGGAATAGCTCCAGTGGATTTACAATTGTGCTCTTTGTAATGGTATGCAAAGCTGCTGTCTAGCCATGGTTTCTTCTCAATATGCATCTGGGAAAAGCAAAATTCGGCTCCAACACATTCGATTCAATCTTTAGTTAGTCATGCAATTATTGTGGAAAGCAACTCTGACCTGGATAGGAACACAGAACAAGAACTGGAGCACAGATGTCTCAAATGGAAATTCTGATACAGCACTCGGATTTAATGTATAACATATTGTAAAACATATGCAAAACATTCCAGAGACCTGCCTTCTTCATCTTAGTCTTCTCTGAAATTAGCATGTATCTGAATCTCATCTGAAATTGATGAGGCTGCTTCCCTGTGGAATCATTTCATGCTCCTTTATCCTAAGTCAGATCTCAGCATTTGCGTGTACATATAATACCATCAATTTGGGTGGCTTTTTCAGCAGAAGCTGCCAATAATTGGACAGTTGTTCAAAGGCTGAATATATCAGCCTGAAGAAAATAAAACTTAAAGTCTGCTTTGAGTAAGATGATCTGAGTAGCAGATAAAAGCTAAATGGTCCTGTGAATAACATTTAGATAGGTAATTGTTCAATATGCGACTATTAAATTCTTTGGTCTTGGGAAAGGGAGAAGAGAAACTGCAGGGGATGATAGAAATGAAAACCTGCTTTTTAAAAATGCAAGTGGATGAGCAGCAAAAAGTAGAGAAAACACCTACAAGAAGTAATATCAATATCTGCCCTATACCTACAATATTCTGTCTACTTGTCTGTCTTCTGGAAGTCCTCCATGGTTTTTTTTTGTCTAGCTGAGAGTCAGGAGATCATGATTATGATGGTGCTGACATAGATAAGTATTCTATTTTTATTTATTTATGGCTCTTCTATACCACATTTATTCCAGGAATCTCATGACAGTTTACAAAAAACAAATAAAACAGACCAGTGACAACAGTTATAAACTCCACAGTGCCAATACTTGATATAAAATAAAATAGTTAAAAACACTATCAGCAATTTAAAAACAGGGAAAATAAAAATGTTTTGGCCTGGCACTGACACGTATACAGCACTGGCACCAGGCACACCTCTCTGGGAAGCATGTTTCACAATCGGGGTGCAATAGCATACTGCTATTAGATCGGATATCAGTGATTGTATTCTCTATATCATTTTATTCCTTTGGTTATTCAGTTGTTTCAACCCAAATTAAAAAATACTGTATTGGCTCAGCAGTGCACTTACAGCTAGGACAGACTGGACAGATGGCAACACAACAAAAGAGAGTAGCTGAGAAGCTGAAGTGCCACCTGCGCAAGTTTTAAAAGAAAGACTAATGCCAAAGAATGAAACACCCAGCGCAAACTCACTGGATAGATCTTGGCATTACAGATGCCCCTTACTTCCAACATTCTCAGTATATACAAAATGCCAAGAAGTCTAATAACGAAAAACGCTTGGTAAGCCACACCAATCTCATTTGGAGGTTATATATGTGTCCATAAATAGCAGATTAGTAAATCACTTAAATAATTAAAAACCCTGTAGCAATTATACATTATAAATTACTTTAAAACATTAGTTATTTAAAGGATATGTAAAAAAGCAATTAATAAAAATAGGAAGCAGTTCCCATCTCACTGCAAGCTGCCAATGTTAGTAGCTCTTACCTGCTGCTTGAGGGCCTCCAAAGATTCAAATTCTAGCCTTGCCAATTTTATCTGAATATCTCGTGGTTTATCAGCAATTACAAATGACATAAGAAACTTCAGAGCCAGTGCCAAATGCTGAAAAAAAAACAGTAAAAATAATAATATTCAGTAAGGAGTGCTTGCAGGTCAGTATGCATAAAATAAATTTTATTAGTCAACATGAGCAAAAAGCCATGCTTTTGCGTGGAACCGCAGATTCCTGTATGCATTGACAAGACAAAGTATAACCTGTGTAGCCTTCCAGAGATATTAGCAAGTACAAAATAGCAACATAGGAACCTGAGCTATATGGACATGCCATGGCCAATTTCTGGGTTCTTTAACCCAGTAATTGGTAGGACATATGAGAGTAAGCAACCATAGTACCTATTTGTGTGCCACTTCTGCTTTCAAATAACGACAGAGCAATGGCAAGCCATGGATTAATCCCTAGAAACCCAGAATTTCTAGTCTGCATGTCACAAAATATACTTGTTAGTTGAAAGCAGGTGGGAACCACCATGCTTGCTTGCTCAATGCACTCACAAACTATGTATGGTTCAACTATGAACAGCTTCAGCATGGCATCTGAGCCAGGCTATTGCTTCTTCTGGGTTGGTACTGCTGATACTGATTGGCAGTGGCTCTCCGGGATTCAAGGCAGGAATTTTTCCAGCCCTACTTGGAGATACCAGGGATTGAACCTGGAACCTTCAGCATACAAAGCATGTGCTCTACCACTAAGTCGCAGCCCCTCCTATAAATCCTTGCGTATCCTTGAGTATCATTTGATCCCTTAGGCACCATCCATTCCATTAAATTCCATTTAAGGAAGCAGGCATTCAAGCAAAAATAGCTTGCTCCATAATAGTAAACATCGTTGTTCCTTAAGTAGGAGATGATGAGGTTAGAGATTATAAATTATAAAGCTTCCTCACTGCCAGAGAAATACAACAGTGGAACCAGCTGCCTAGAGAAGTGGTGGGCTCTCCCACATTAAAAAAAGATTAAAGATTTCCCCATATCATTAAAGACCAGTAATATCTGACTCTTGGGGGCAGTGCTCATCTCCGTTTCCTAGCCAAGAGAGCCAGTGTTTGTCTGAAGACAGATTCCATGGTCATGTGGGCAGCATGACTAAGCACCGAAGTGCACGGAATGCTGTTTACCTTCCCACTGAAATGGTACCTTTTTATTTACTTGCATTTATATGCTTTCAAACTGCAAGATTGGCAGGAGCTGGGACAAATCAACGATAGCTCACCCTGTTGTGCACATTCGAACTGTAGACCATTCAATCAACCAGCCCAGCAGCTCAGCAGTTTAAACCACTGCGCCACCCGAAGGCCTTTCTCCCACATTAGAAACATTGAAAAAGAAACTGGACAGCCATCTGTGTGAGATGGTGTAACGTGGTATCCTGCAACAGCAGGGAGTTGGACTCGATGGCCTTCATGGCCCCTTCCAACTCTATTATCCTATGATTCTATGAAATGCAAACAGAGAACAAGGTAAAGAAATATTCCACACTTTAACAATTTGACAAGTTACGTTGTATGCATATAAAAACTACAAACTGCATTGCCATTTGCAATTCAGTAAAAACTAAAAGCTTATCTCCAAAGAGGCTGCGTTTGGAATCACATAATGGCACAATCCTGTGCAACTTTACTAAGTAAAAAGTCCAATGGTTTCTAGAATGCCCCAGCCAGTGCAGCGGGCTGGAGGGATACTGGGAGCTATGGGACATCTGGGTTCACACTAGATTGTTCCTTAAGTGAAATTGTAACATGGCTTTTTCTCCTTTATTGTCCCCTTAAGAGTGGCCAGATCACAAAACTGTAGGAATACTATAATCCAGGCTAACAACTAGTGCACTTTAGTGGTTAAGAGTGCAGGAATAGAACTCAGATAATTGGGTGACTCTGGGCCAGTCACAGACTCTCAGCTCAACCTACCTCGCAGGGTTGTTGTGGAAATATGATTGAGAACAGGAGAATTATATAAGCCACTTTGAGTAAGAAAAAAGTGGGATATAAATCTAAGTAATAGAAAAGAATAAAAATAGCTGCACGTGTGTAAGTGATGAGGATCACTGCTGGGGAGAGAAGGTTACAGGATAAAAGTACCCCTTCCTGCATGTAAGCTGCAGTCTCAATGGACTTCCACTCACAGTACAGGTCCATACCAAATGGATACAGATAATTCTTAGCTGTTTTATCCATCTTGAAATTGACTGCTTTTGTTTCATCTACTTTACTGGGGCAAGGCAACGGAGGCTTTTTGGGGGGTTTTGGGTGGGGAAGAAAATAACAGTGTTTACAATTTTGTTTCCCCCCCAAAAGCTGCCTTATTGCATGCCAGTAGAGGCTGTCATTACTGTACAGAACAGCTGACTATCTACAGAAGTGAGCAGCAGTGAGTCCAATAGGATTTTTCCAAATAAACTTGTTGAAAAATCAGCAAATAATTCAAAGAAGAAAAGTTGGTGGAAGTGCCATTTCACAAAACCATTCTTCTTCAATGACTAGATAAAGTTCATGAATTGCTGGCTGAATCACTGTTTCTCTACAGCTGCACCCAGCATAAGCTATTAATGGGGGGGGGGTGCACCTCCTACTTGCTTCAGAGTGATGCATTTAACAGAACTTTTAGTCTGGCCCTTAATTTCCTGTTAGTGAATATGTAACTGCCAATGAATTCAAATACTGGTTCTATAAGTATTGATTTTGTTTTCAGGGCTGTGATTACTAGTACTCATTCTTCAACCACCAATGTTATATAATGCAGTTTTAATGAAATTTCCTCAACTTGCAAGGCACTATGTCTTAATCTGTCTGATAATCAGACTGATCTTATTTTGAACATATTCAAGAATATTATGGCTAGCTGGAGCACAATTATACCACTGTAGAAATCAAATTAGGACTTCAAATTCCAATAATGCATTGCTAATGTTTAAGAAAAGACAAAGTTGAAGGATACACTGATGCAAAAACACAGCTGCTTGCGTAGTTCACTGCAGCTTATTTTTTTCTTTTTTGTGGTAGAACAAGCCAGCTCCGCTGATACTCTAAGCATTTGGCAGAAGTCCACAAAGAGTTTGATAGTGCCACAATTATCAAGGGTGAGAGAGACATTGACATTTTGCTCCTTATCCACTTGGCAGATGGCAAAATAGGAGGATATTTTACCGTTGACACCAGGGAGCCATGTTAATTCTATTCTGTTTTCCTCATACCAAGACGTACACCCTGTAATCATCCTGTAGAACATGTACTTGAAAAACACAATCTCTTTAAGTCTTACAATTTAGAATAATGCTGCTCTGCAAGGGCTCAGAATGAGGGGCACTACAGTTATATGCTATTCAATTTAAGGATGCTATAGTGTTGCCTAGTAAGAGACAAACTTAACCATAGACAATGTCTTGTTATTCGCCATAGACTCCCAGTTTCTTTAAGTTTTATTTCATTTCCAAATTATTCATTTCCAGTTCAAACTATCAGTCTCATACAGGGTACTGTGATGTGTCTGTCTGCAAGATTTATTAAAACAGTTTTGAGTAGGTACGCCAAAGAGATGGAGAACTGGTTGGCTTATAAATCTCAAGCCTTTGATCCTACAAACTTTAATATCATTGTAATTCAAAACAAGATTGATTACAAGTTCATTTGTACATCGACGTGACTCAGCATCCAAACTGTGCTCCCAAACTGGTTTAGGGGATGCCAACAGAAAGAAGTTCCATCCTCTTTGCCTGCATTTCTCCCCAGATCCATACATTTTGCTCAGTGTACCACAGCCACTGCTTCCACCCCCAGCCGCAGAATTATAGGAAAACAAAGCACAAAAGGACACAGACAACCTGAGGTCACTCAGAGTCGCACGATGTTATGATTTGCAGGGTTTGGGGAAAATGCTCTATTACACATGCTACATTCACAAACTGTTCAAGATCTCAAATTAATAGAGAACTTTAATCCAAAAGTTACATTGGATTTGTATGATGATGAGCTAATTATAATTTTCAGTGGACCAGATTTGCCCATCATTAGTTCTGACATGATATTACCCTTTTCAAATGTAAAGAACATGAGACAACTATTATGGCAAGAACCCATCATGCACTGTACGTGCATGGTGGTTGAGTTCCACTAATCCCTAGCATGCTGCTGATCCCACCCCTATCCCCACACTATGCCAGAGGGTGCCCAACCTTCAGGAATGGCTTGGCAAAGTGTAGCAGACTCAAACAGGACTCTTTAAATTTTGGAATCGTTGACTTGTATTAACAGTGATTAGTTAGCAATTAATATAGTGAATCAACCTGCGGACGTATTCAGGGCTGCAAGTAACCTATGCTTATCCACAACTGTAGTGAAAGCATAGAATGGTATTGTAAACAATTCAGCATCCTTAAGATCTTACTTTTTTTTAAAGAGTTAAGTTCCCATCTTTATGATTGAAAAGATGCCTGATAAAATCTCAAAAATCAAGTATAAAATGATACGCATTTCAAGCTATTAAGCATTAGAAATGAAAACATGTCATGAAGCAGAGAGCAAGTAATTTTCTAGAATAAATTGCATGACATCTTATCCATTAACACCTGATAACCAGACCTTAAGATTATGTTTGCTCTCACATTTCCGTTAGCACATAGCTTCCATAAGATACATATAAACAGAAAAACAGTTGGTACAAAGCATAGTATTATTTAACAATACAATCTGCAGGACAACAGTTGATAATGCAGTAATATAATACATGTAATATCCATCTTATAATCCTTAAATATTTTGGCAAGACCTTTATCTCAATTAATGGAAGGTATTTAATAAAAATTATGATGCAGGTTGCCAAAAATCGAATTAGTTAATGTAGTATCTAATGAACAGGAAAGCTCTGACAATGCTCTGAAGTGAATTCTACATGAAAAAAGATAGAGAAAATGGGCATGCAATTCAATTTGACACTATGATTAATGGCATACTGTATGAAATGCCTCTTAACTAATTACCAATATTATTCATTGGTCCCATGCATGTCCAGTATATCTTACTAGGAAAATATTTGAAGTCTAGAAAATGTAA